AGCTGCTGCTGAGATGTGTGCCTCTCCCAGGACAGCTAACATCTGTAGCCCTAAGGATGATGGCACATTTAAACGTCAGTGTTTGACTACAGGCTGGAGGAAGGATTTAGGATCGATAACATTTGCCTTGAATCTCCTGAGGATGAATAGGAGAAACAGTACACAGGAAGCGATATTACTGTTGGATTTACGCAGCCTTCAAGCGGTTACTAAAACTGTGGCCCCTGAATGGCTGTTGGATGACCTACATGAGATGAGTTTGGTATTGGAATTCACTTTCCAGCGGGAAGTTTGTATTTTCACAAAACATGCAGCTAATTAGCACCTGCTGGGCTGCCTGTTTGACAGCTGGGAAGAGGCCAAAGATTAAATGCTTTTCAAAGATGAATTTACCTTTTATCCATACTGATTAGGGGAGGAGAGTGACAGGAAAGAAGTGCGTGGTTTTGTGCAAGCTGTTCTGTTCCTGCCTGCTCAGTATGTCTGAAGGATTCCATGGAGAGTGCAAGTTAGCCGTGGTACAGTGCTGCCAGCTCTCCTTGTGAGGGGTAAACATGAGAGAGAGCTGCAGAAGCTGCCTCTGTGCCAGCAATGAATGGCAGGGGGTAAGGTCTGCTTGGTCTGAGCTGACCTTCCGTGGAGCCCTGCAAGTCTCTGGGCCGTGCTCTCCATGGTTCATGTTTCTGGGCATATGGTGCTGAGACATGTCTGGTGGGCTGATTTGGTGGGGTTCTGCACTGAACAAAAGTAGCTGAAACTTTTGCAGACTGGAAATGGCCCTCAAAGAATGAGAGACCTGTTTGGGGATTTATCTGAGCTAATGAATTCTGTTACACCTGAGCTGGCTGGGTGCCTGAGCCCCGGAAGCAAGTGGTGAGTGCATGCATACCTGTTGCTTGTAACAGGAAGGATTTTTTTCCTTTGTAGTACTCAGAACATGTATACTCAGGCCCCTCCTGGCCCCTTCTTGGTGCACAGGTATACAAGGCAGAGCACACCCACCACTGTCTGTTCTTCTCACTTGCTGAGCAAGAGAGAAGTTGTGCCTGTCGTCGTGTCTGCATCCATGCCATGGTTTCTTCACGACCTGTGTAAACCATCTGGGGGAGGGCAGAAATCAAACCAAATTGTTCGCATAGCTTTTGCCTTAATAAAGAAATCTTTCTTTTAAGCATGGGTTCATGTTAAAGCAAGGGCCGTACGCAGCTGGTGCCTTTTAAAAAAAAAAAAAAAAAAACAAAACCAAAACAAAACAGAAAATCAATGGATGAATGGAGAAAAGCTGACTTATCAGGAACAAAATGTTCTCCCCTGAAATACTGATCTTGGATTGCTCTGTTCTTTGTTCTTTGCTATGTTCAATGCAAGTAGGTCCCAATCATGAGCTCCATCCCTTTCCCTTAAGAATATGCCTGCCCCAGAGAAACTTGCTGCCCTGGGTGCCAGCTGTTCCCATTGCTGTCCCACCCTAGTGAAGGGGTTCTGTGGCCAAGGTGCAGCGTACCAGCTCTGCTGCTGATCAGATTTGCTGCTAAATCAGGTAATGATTTAGTATAAGTTGTTTAGAAGTTTAGCATCAGTGTGTACAACATCAAAGCTGGTTTGGTAGCCTTTCTACCACTGTTCTGTAGAACAGTTTGGGGTTTTTTCAATCTGCCCAGAAGCTACTGCATGGAGATAGAACATCTCAGTTATTGCCTAGATCGTGTTGTGCATACACTGGTGCAGTCTCAGAGGCTCGGGCCTTGAAGACTTGGCCTTTCTTTTATCCTTGCAAAACTTGCTTTCAGGTCTTGACAGATCAGTATTCAGCCAGTGGCTGTGCACAAATCCTGTTACTTGAAACAGGAAGGAATTTTTCTTTGTAGCATTTGTAACATACTTGCATCCATTGTCATCACTCAGTAGATAGGTATATAAGGCAGACTATACTCATCACCCTTTCAATTTCTCACTTACCTTGGAGAAAGCATGCTCCATCAATTAACATTATATAATGCACCTGCTTTCCTGGTACCTGATTTTCTTTAGTCCTAGTCTGGAGATGAACACTGCTTTGTGTCCTGCAGGTCGTTATCTGTGATAGTACTCTTTGCACTGGTGATTTCAAGTGGCCCTCCACCTTGACCCAGCTGTGGTAAAAGATCCTGCCAGTGGTTCCCTATTGTAGGTATCTTCGTTGTCTTGTGAAAGGTTGCAGATCAGCCACAGCAGTATCTGCTGATCCTCAGACCTTGCCCCAAGAAGATACAGGAGCTCCTTCTGAAGGAGGTCTTGTCCTTTCATCCTGGTGCCAGTGAGCAAAGTGAGAAATGCCAGTGCCCACCTTGGCAGCAGCGTAGTGTCCATCTTCTAGTAGAGTTCCAGCTCAGTCCAAAGGATCTAGTGCCTCTCCCCTGCCCAGGCCATTAGCTTTTCCTGTTAGTGCTTGTGGCTCCTGGTCCTGGCTTCCAATGAGGGTACTAGACTAGACGAACTAGCACTGAGAGCTTCTGTCCTGCTGCGAGTCAGCACTTGGCAGTGAAATACTTTGTCTTTTATTGAGCTTCATTCAGCAGTTTTGAATGATAACACAGTGATTTGTCGAACTTCCAAATCTCTTGGATGCCATGTGTTGTTGGACTGTGGGGGCTGCTGAAGAGATATCTCCCATTTGGTCATTCATAATCTGTACTGAATGTCCCATGTTGTTGTTTGCTTTGTTGGTGTTTTCTGTCCAGATGATGGGAACGGGGAGCATCCCCGTCCCAAATGCTGCCATATCCAGTCCTAAAGTAGTTGTATTTCATTCCTGAGCATTCACTATGAAAGTATTACTAATTGCCTCTCAAGAGGAGAAAAACAGAATTGTTTGAGTGCATTAGTCAACTGTATTCCTTTAATGTGCTTTTTAATGCAATATAACGGATGGCCTCTAGGTAGTGCAGGGTGGTAACTTGTGGGTGGTAGAGCAAACCTGGCACAAGAAAAGCTTGGTAGATGGGAGATTGCAGTCCTTGACATGCAGTCCTTTGATCTCTTTTCTTAGAGTGTGGGAAAACAGCCATGATAACGTATACTGTCCAGTAAAAGTCAGCGTATGAGACAGGCCAAGGAGAGGACTTGTGGCATGGTGCCATTAGAGGTCACAACAACCTACGGCTGTTGCAGCAGACTTAGGGAAATAGCATTCCTGTTTGAGAGGAAGCCTGCTGCCAATGCATCAAAAGAAATTCTTCAGATGAAGGAAAATCAAACAAAACAACTATTTTATTAGCAAAGTCAGTTACTTTTACCCTACAAATTGCTTCTTTCCTTACTCCACTCCAAAATATGATCTTCTGAAAGTAATCACAGTTCCCACCTTGTAATGGTTGGCAGGGGCTGTCAGTAATGCCATGTCAAAAACTTCCCCAAATCTAAAAGTAATCATCAGAGTTTTCTATTTATCATCTTTGTTTGTCTGCCTTGTGTGTCTCACCAGCTTGTTGTCAGGTTCAAAGCTGTTTGGCACATGGGCTGCCTCGAGGTGGTGTGTTGGTCCCACACCCTCGTCCTGTAGTTTCTGCAGAAGGACATAGTAAATAGGAAAAGAACTCTTTATTTGGAGTGGATTTCCCTAACTGTGCTGATTGCAGTAAGTAATGTCTATCAGGAAAACTGTTTAGGTTCACTGTAAACAATCACTCGATGTCAGTCATCCTAATGTTCATGTGTCACTTTTAATCTTTTGTAAAGAAATGAGACTCATTTGTTCCTTTTGACTGGTTGTTTCCTAAGAACTTTTGAACTAGTTGAATGATATATTTAAGGGAAGGATATGATAGATATTTACAGTCTCCCAAGGAAAGTGGAAGTCGTCTAATTGTTCACAATCTTTTCCAGTGTAAATGAAGCTCAGAGAAGCCGTATTCAAAATCAGGAAAGGGAAGTGATTGAAAGTCCATATGGATCCAGGAGGATTCTGAGCTCAGAGAGGAGAAATCACTGAGGATTGCTAGATACATAGAAGCTATACCTGATGCGTGAAATTCCTCGTTTGAAAATAATTAAATGGTAGAAGAGAATTTCAGAAAAATATTATGTTTGTTTGCTTTGTTCTTATGTTCTTCTTAGGTATCTGCTTAAGGCCACAGTTAGTCAGGATTTGGAGATGGACTTTTTGTTGGACCCAGTACAGCCATTCTGAAGTTACTGGTGCATTTGTAAATCCAGACTAGCTAAAGCATTGCTGCTTCTTGGCCCCGGACGGGTCATGGTAAAGGAGTTTGGACCTTTATGTGGGAGAGAGGTGGAAAAATTAGGCACAAAGAACAAAATCTAGAAGAAAGCAGACTCAAAAATTTCCATAGTCAATAGAATTATCTATATGTAATCATTGTGCTTCTACAATTTAATACATTTAATTTGTGTGTCTGTCTATGCTTGCATAACTTATACCATCTAGTTGCTGCAGCATTCACTGGATATCAGTGTAGGCTGTGGTTCCATGGGCATTTCTTTAAGCAACTATGATGGTTTAATTGGATTCTGCCATGAAGAGAACCAGACTGAGGAACTGAACTCAAAGTAGTAGTAACCCAGGAAAATAAAAAGCATTTGTTTTAACCTGGTTCTTTTCCTGCATCTGGTTCACCTCTCAGCTGCATAAAAGCTTGTCTGAAAACAAGTATTGACAGTGATACTGGCTTTTTCATGTCTGAAGTGTTTCTGAAACTTTAATCTCGGGGAAGTGGGTATGAAACCACTACCTTAAACTGTATTGTGTTTGTTCCCTGTCACAATCTATGCAAGGCATTTGTACACTGCATCAGAGTTTGGCACATAACATGTCTTTGCAGCCAGCATGTGAAGGTCATTGACCAGAGAAAACAGAAATATGCAAGTTAAAGTGTTTATTCCTAATGTGAACATTATTTCAATTCCTCCAAGTAACTGCTTCAGATGCTTTACATCACTTTGTTTTTAATTTCCATTAGAAGTGAGAACTTGTTCCTAATGTCTTCTTCCTTTCTCCCCAGATAATCTGATCAAAGCCATCCTGTCAGCAACCAAAGATTACCGTCTAACTCCAGCTCTTGACAGGTAAGATGAGATCTTTTAGAATAGAAGGAGTAGAGGTGATTATTTTCCACCTGTCCTAAATAAATTTTGCTAGATATTTTTGCCAGAAATTATTGCCAATAAATTTGGCTGTGCCTTGGAGGTAGATCAGGAGCTCGAAACCAAGTCCTCTCCCAAGTAAATCTGTAAACTCTGGAGACCTCTGTTAAGTCAAACATGAGTAGAAAAAAGCATTTGCCTTTTGACTATTTCCTCATCTTTTTTTTTTCATATGGTGTTACAATACACCCTCTTGCCCATTCTTCAAATAAGTAAATAGCAGGTTTTCAATAAACACGTTATTCTTTCTCAGCCTTTCTAACGAAGCAAGAGTATCACAAGAAACCCTTAGAGGGAAAGAAGGGACTGGCTTGTTTTAACAATGTTTCACTAATACCTTACCCTTAAAGCTTTTTTTGTCCAAGCCTGTGCCAGGATGCGATAGCAGTCACCTGAGTCCTGTGGTATTTGAAATGATGCCTTTAGAAGAAGTTCCTTTGATTCTGCAGTCCTATTGTAGAGGTTGCTTCTGAAAGTCACTGGCATGCTTACAATCAGCTTCCCAGTGATAGTCCTTTAATCTTTCCTATCCTTGCTTTTCTGTCATTCCTTCCATTTACCATGCAGTTTTGATTTAGTGCCACCTCCTGGATTAGAGGTAGCTTTTTTCAAAAGCTGTCAGAGGTTTTTATTGGGACATGATGTCTTTTCAAAGTCCTGGTACTACTTCTTTCCAAGCAGTGGTACTTCCTTGAACCCAGGCTAACAACACAGTTCCTGCTTTCTAAACACATTGGTTTTATTTCCTGGCCCAGCTGCCCTTCTGCCCATTTTTCCATGACAAAGTTCATAAGCTTTTCCAGCCTTTCCATAGGTCTCTGCATCTCTTATGTGGATTGTAGAGCTTGCCTGCTGTAGTTAAGAGTTGGGAGTTACTCTGTATGTGAAAGTTTATTCTTAGTTTTTTGCAGTCTGTGTGCTAATGTAGGTTGCTTTGAAGTTTGCCTTGCCTCACAGCAATGCCAGGTAGGGTTAGCCTTCAGAGTTTGGATTAATGTGAGAGATGATGTCCGGAAGGCAAAATCATTTTACAAATGACCTTCTTAGAGATTTTGCACACAACTGAGCCTCACCCATCTGGGGTTTCTCTCAGCTGTGGTTGGAGAGTTAAGATTTTGATCTGTTGAAAAATCCACCTATATACTCTTTCAGAAGATTGCTTATGGGAAATTAGTGTTAATGACAGAGGGCAGGTGGGAGATTCTTGCAGTGAAGGTTAATGTAATTGTGACACTTGCTGCTCATCTATTTTTTGAGGAGTGGAATGTTTCGGTTTTTTAAAAGTCATTTCTTAGGAGGTTGTGAAACATAGCCACTCTAGCATGAGCGGCTCACTTTGGGTTTACATTCTTTATAATGGGTTTGGTGCAGAGATAGGAAAGACCTAACACTCAAGCCTTCATGAAACGTATGCAAAGTTCCTGAGATATCTAGAAATTTATTTCTAAAGTATTGCAGTAATGAGGTTTGATGGTGTGTATGCTTGTAAACACACAGATATCTTGGGGAAGTACTGTTTTCTTGGGAATTTTTGTGATAAAAATGCATAGTAGTGGATGTTGGTTGTGTAGTATGTATGCCTCAGTCAAATACCTCCCAGAGCCCTTCCAAGTGAGCAGGTCTTAAGAAAGATAAAAATTGAAGCTAATGTGGGAGGAAGGGACAAGAAAGGCTTGGGATAGCAAGCCGCAAAGTGAGAGCCTAAAGCAGTAGGTGGATGGAGTTGCAACAGAGGGGTTATTACGGGAGAGCTTGCGTACTGTAGGAGGTGTTAAGGCTACTGCAGTGCTGCTCTTGGAAACCTGCTTGGTGAGTAGGGCATAGGTGAAGACTTGGATATGCTTCTAGAAATGTGCTTCAGCCATGATCATCAATGAATTACAGTGCTGGCAGCAATGGGTATCTGCCATTTTGAATTCCAGAAGACCTGATGGAGCAGACTGATGAGGTTAGCTACTTTCTCATCTTGTCTCAAGCTCGAAGCAGAGCCCAACAGTTCCTCTCTGTGTCAGCTCCAGCATGCTGGGAGCAGGGCCTTGAGGTTTGGGTCACTCCCTTGCTGTGCTCACTGGTCAAGGAGAAGGTCCAGACCTCTCCCCTTTACTCACCACCTTGGAGCAACTGGAGAAGGCCTGACTCAAAGGACCTTTAAAGGTCCCTTCCAACTCAAACCATTCTATGATGAAAGGCTGAAAAAATCCCTTATTGTGAAAGAATTAGGTAAGAGATGGCTAAAGTCTGTGAGGTACAAGGGGTCAGAGTTAGGAGATCTTGTGAACCCTTCCACTTGTAGGCTCTCAGAAGTCTTGTGGGTTGAGTCTAGCAGTAGGGAAAAAGCTCCAGGTTCACTTTCTCTTCAGGATGGAGTTACACCAACATTTTCTCTGTTGGCAAAGCCAGTCTAAGAAGCTATATTTGCTGCTGCTGCCTGCTCTCAGATTGTGACTCCTTACTTTCTCCTTGTGCTGCTGCTATTGTTTGAAGAGGGACTTTAAAGTGGGTCACTGAAGCAATTACAGTTTACAAGTTTTTCTCTTCACCTGGGTCATTCCAGTGACCTCATTTACAGAGCTTCCCTCCCACTGCAGACTTGTGTTGGCGCAGCGCTACAAAAGCAGCACGAGAGGCAGAGGGCTGGGGATGGGTGGGGAGGGTGAGCGGTGCCGAGCCTATTGAAGTAAGTGCTCGTGTAACCGTACGCTGAATGCAGCTTTCCCGAGGGAAGGGTGGGAGAGGCAGGAGAGGTGAGGTCAGAGCAGTGCGTGCGAGCATAGGAAGGAAAGAGGGGATTAGAGTTGTATGGTGGGGGATCTACACCAAGGCTTTGGTCTTGTCCCCACCCAGGCTTCTCCATTTCTGTCCTCCTTCACAAAGCTGTCTCTTGAGATGTTACCATTGCTTGCCTTCCATAAGCCCTGGCAATGAACTTCTTTGTTTGATTATCCCTGTGGCAAAAGGGCATCCTAGTGCACCTTTCCTGACACAATGTACCAACATGATGCTGAAATGAGGCAAATTCAGTCCTTCCGGGTATGCGTACACCTTTCATCATCCCAAAGCAGCTTTGCCAACTCCCTCCAACTAATCCCTCCATTGTGAGTAGAGTTGTGTTAATAACTAGCAGCAGCTGGAGGGCATGTGAACAAATGCTCTAGTTCACGCCTGTAACATTAGTGTAAGTAATGCCATGCTTTCTTAGTTTCTTCATGACTCCTTATTGTGGCACCTTCGTATTGAACTGCTTATAGTAACCTGCTTCTGCTCCAGGGCAGGAGGTAGGTAAAGCTGTGGTTGTGTTTGTGAGGGTAGTTGCAGCTCAGCTCTGAGCTTTTCTGGAAAAGATTGGAGATCGAGGGGACTTTCTCTAGAATCAGTGTCCTGTTCCTTCAGAGCTGGCATGTCTTTCTCCCTGACGCAAATGTTGATGGGCCTCGTCTTTGACGCTTCAGAGTTCTCTTGAACTCTGTTGGCTTTTCCAGGCCCATTTATATCATTGACATTTTCACTGCTTGCTTTTGTGGCTCCTCCAGTGGCCTGGCCCTCATTCTCAAATCAATCAGAGCTTGATTTCTAGTTCCATGGCTCTTCTGCTGGCTGGACTTCAGTGGATTTAGGGGTTAAATCTCTGTGGTGATGACCTGTAAATTTCCTATGAAAAGACATAAATACAAAAACCTGACTGACCTTTTTGTATTGCCTCCAGATGGTAATGAAGAAAAACTGAGAGTTTGAGCTTACAACTAACACAGTCTTTACTAAAGCAGTATATGGACTAACAAGTGAGGAAGGAATTTGACAGAGCAGGAGAGGAGATGAGTGTGTCCCTCTGGCTCAGGTTAATAGCACCAGTTTAAGTAGCAGGATCCAGATCAAACCAGAATATGCTAAGCCTCCCTAAGCACCAGTTACCCTAAAGATGTATTTTTTAATTATTCTGTTATATCTTTCCTCAAAGCCTTTAGTTCCAAAGTAGCATAAAGGAAGGCCTTGTGTTTTTTCTCCCCTGACAAATCCCTAAAGCGCTTTGATAAGAGAGGAAGTAGCAATTGCTACAATGCATACATGTGTTTACAGTGCTATATTGTTCAAGAAGATCTGTGTGAATTCCAGTTTTGGTGTAGATGAACTCAGCTCTGAGCATCTGTGTCAAGAGGCTGTACATCTGACTGCAGCTCCCAGCTTAGGGCTTTAGAGAAGGTCTGTCTGGTGCAGAAAGTCCATGACCCTACTTCATACCACCCTGGTAGCAAGCTGAAACCTGGGCTGTCCCCGATGTGTTCAGTCTTTGAGCTTTTCTGGAAAAGAAATACAGCTTTGACGTTCTATGTAAATAAACAAAAAGGCGTTTGCACACTTCTTTGTGGAGAAACAATTGAGCTGTAACTGATGCTGCTTGCGCAGTGTGTTCCTTCAGACAGAAACTTGCCTGGAGCCAGCAGTGACTTTGCAGGTTTCCCATGCTCAGGCAGCATCAGTTAGTGCCGACTGTGAAGGAGCCCAGCTCCGCTGGTGCCAAGTATCCAAACATCTGGTCGGGATGCGAGGTCAGGCACATGAAGTCCCTGCCAAATGCTTCCCTTTCACAGTGCCATCAGGGTGGCCCTGCAATCTTCTCGTTGTCCCACAGTGTGATTGCCAAAGCTGGTTGAGACCAAGCCAACTCACCTTTCTGCCTGTTTCGATCAAAAGTTCTGGCTGCCCAGACTTGATGTACACGCCTGATGCGCAGAACCCAGGCCAAGTCCAAGACTCACTGTATCTTCATCATGTGCACCTGAAGAAAGCAATCTGTGCCTGAGTACTTCCCTCTGAGTATGCAACAGAAACTTCCAGCTTTGCAGTGAGAGTGGGCAGAGTACTTTTGAAAGAAACTTAAGATAAAGCTGCTAGAAGATCCAAGATTAGACCTTAGCATCAAAAAGATACTAATGAAAAATCTTATCTGCGGACTTAAGGAAAAAGGACGAAGCATTTAAATATGTCAAGACCACGAGGGTATAAGAGTGGTTCAGACATGAAGTTGGGCAAAGCTGATTAACATATCAGTTATGACAAGTAAAGGCAGAACCATTCAGTTGAGTATTTGTTTCATTTTTCGGGGTAAAGATAGAATGATGTTGTCCCATTTTACAGCAGTGATTAAATACTTTGTGTATTTTTGTTAATAACTGTGAGAATGTTAAATGACAATTGTATGTCTTTTTAAATCAGTAAGCACGGAAGAGTATTTAAAGAGTTAAATAAAGAATTCCTTTTGTTATTACTGTTTGCTTTTCAATCCTTCTTGGAATGTTGGATAGAACAGCAAATGTTGTGCCATTCCTGGAGAAATATGGGAGGTGACAAAGAGGTGGCTGTAAGTTGATTAGCTTGGTTTCACAGGAAAAATCCTGGAAAGGTAGATCTGGGACAGAGCTAGGATGACAGCATAATTGATGTGAGTTATCTTAGGTTTTGTGGAAATGAAATCTTGTCATGTAGAGGATATATTTTTTAGATGAACTAGAAGCTTGATTGATAAAGGTAACCTTTTAAAGATAAGCATTAGTTATTTGTCTCAGTCCATTATATTCTGATTCTACACAACACTGTTGTAGACATATCCTTTTTAGAAATGGGATATGTCGCACAGCTTTAAAAAGTTACTGTCAGGGTTGAGAATTAATCCTTTAGTGACACTTCTAGTGTAATCCTGCTGGCAGATGTTCACAGTGGTTAAAACCAGTCTGGAGGAAATGTAAAATTACACTAGGAAAATTGGCCAAAAGACTGGCGAAGTAAGGGCTAGGAGGGCCAGGTCAGTCTAGATCTTTTCGTAGGGCCATTCTCTGAACAGTCCTTTACTGGAGCCAAATCAAAAATCAGGCATCTCAGAGGCAACAACGCAGATCATGCTTACAAGATGGGGATTATATTCTGCAAACCAAAGCCTATAAAAAGAGCGTTGGAACGATGTACATAAAATCTCTGTGTCAAAGGGACCCTGCTTTGAGCAGCATTATCCCCGCATGCTGGTCTTCTAGAGTTGGTGCTTCCGAGATCTGGAGAGAAGTTGAAAATGGTTCAGAGAGGTACTGCAAATGTGACTCAAAATCTAGGAGAGCTGCCATACTGTAAGAGATGTGATGAGCTCACTCTAGTTTGTATGGTCAAGAGAAAATTAAGAATGGGATTTGATCAGTCTACAAGTACTGTGTGGGAACAAGGCCATGAAGAGAGGCTGCAGGAACAGCTTTGGCTGGTGGAACTGGTTCTTTTATCTCATGTGTAGCGGCTGATGCTCACCGCTCTGATGGTGACTGATTATCCACCTGGAAGCAGATGTTTACACACAGTGGTTTGTCAGTAAGTGGATCACATGCAGATGTGGAAGGGACTGCTGACAGTAGATGGTGCTTTAATTTAGCAGAAAAGGGAAGAAAGCAATTAAGTGGTTTGAGACTGAAACAAACACATTTGTGTTCAAAATTGTTAAGAACTAGCATCCTAATAGTGAGTGGGGAAGGGATAGAGGGGAGTGTCTATAGCTTCCAGCCTTTGGATTTCAGCATGATATTCTTCTTCAAAACATAAAGTTAAGAAAAGTCATGGCTCAGAGACAACTGAGTAGAGAAATTGCCGTATTTCACCCAGCAGTCTGTTGTTTAGGAGGTCAAACTTTCTTATCGTGATCATCAAAAGAGCGTATTTTCATCTGAAATTTCACTTGGCCAGAGTTGAACTATGTCTTTTTTCCCCTCCTGCAGCACGTTTTCGTTAAAGATTTTGACAAAGCTGTTACCATCTTTGTCACTCAGTTGGGTGTACTTGGGGCTGACTCTTTCA